AACTGTAGGCACCCTAAGAAACCTCTGCCCTATTTTAATTTATTGGCAGTGCATTATGGGCAGAAAAATAGATATTCTGTGACAAATTTGTGTGAGCAATTCCCACACGTGGTTTTAAGCCAAAATTCCCATCGTCATATATGGCACAAGAACACCATAATTCTCTGAACCTTTCCCCTAGACTGCCAAAAGTCCTTTGTTTATTGGCAGGAGGCAATGCTGATATAAGTTGGTCTCCAGATTGCAACCTTGCTGGCCAGCTAATCTCTTACTTGGCAGACCAAGGTCTTCTCAAGTCTCAGGCTAAATACTAAGGCAGTGTCCAAGGCCAGAATTATTTGAAATAAGGGGAAAGTTGGAGCTGCTATCCAGTTCATGACTCAATGAAACCAAACTCTGAAACACAATAATCAAGAAGTGTAAAGCAAAAGTAGTAAGGGTTAAATGGACTGGTAACCCATCCAAGCCTTGATAAAAAGAGTATTTGGAAACAGGTGGCATAAAAGATTAAAAATACCAGGCACAAATGGAATTAATTAAGAATGGCAGGGGCCAGCTGAGTCAGGAACAGGTGGGTGGATACGGAATTAAGCTTGGTTTATAAAGCTAAGAGAGCCCAAAGTGTTTCCGATTATATAAATGAGCCCCACCTTGGAAATGTGTAGTGTAGACTGCACACAGATCACAGTGGATGTTAAAAGAAGAGAGTAAGATCTGTCAGAGCCGTTTTCTCTTGACACTGTTGACTTGTATTCTATGAATTGTAAATACCAACCAGGGGTGAGGATAGGCACCAGGTAGATGCCACTGTTTTCTTATAAGGCAGAAGGAGATAGACGAGAACTTAAACATTTTGTTAGAACAAAGAAGAAAAATCTATTTTCAGGCACAACCTGCCTTATTTAACATTCTAATGTCAGTTTCTTACTTTAACATTTTTATTTATGGAAACTCTAAATAATTCAGTTGAATAGAATCAATTGCACAGGAAACAGGGCGGCTGGCTGTGTCACAGAGTTAACATGGGATCCCGATCACCTGAGTTAGCTTTTATCGATATGGAAAATGTCGGGAGCCGGGACAGGGCCGCTTGCTGCCTCCCTGTGGCTCCGCATCTCCACGGGCCAGCGCTGCGCGGGGCCAGTTGGAGGGCACGCTGCTGGGGCCGGCCTGGGGCAGAGAGCCGCCCAGGGCCCGAACTGGAATGCAGCGGGCCCGCGTGCTGCTGCCTAGATTAGGGCCACGCTGCTTGCGTGATCCTGATTGGGTAATTTTTGAATCCCACTGTTTTTGATTGGATGTTAAAGCTTGCTGTTGATTGGATGTTAAAACTTGATGCTGATTGGATGTTAAAGCTTGTAGTTGATTGGACGCTTTTTAAGCCCTATCAAGGGTATAAAAGCAGGAGGAGCCGTAAGGAAGGGGCAGAAGTGTCAGAGGATGGGAAGACGGGAAGAGAGCTGTAACACTAGGTGTGCTGAGCCTGCTGGCGTGGAATAAAGGCTATTCTCTGACTCATGTGCCGCTGGGTTCTTTCCCTGGTCAAGAGCTGTTACACTAGCTGTATGCTTGCCGCAACATTATGAACTTCTGGTTTACTTTTCTGAAAAATGGTTTTGTTCTTGAGGATCAAACCTGGTAATATTTGTGAAAGTCCCTGGAAAACTATAAATCATTATGCAAATGGAATGTATTATTTTACAAAATTGTTATTCTTTGCTCACACAATCATGGCTTGATTATCCTGAGGACAAATGGGTTTTCTGTTTTACTAAAAACAAAGGAAAAGAAAAACTTTGTCACTTATCACCGGCTTACAAAGAGTTCTTCTATAGGTCAAATTATCTAAATCAGCCTAATAGTTATCTTTCTTTTTTCCTTGTTCCTGAAGGGAGATACTTTGTGTACAAAGTCATCTGCTGCCAGTTTCCTGTGCTTGCTATTAACTACAACTGCAATTTGATTAAGAGCCCCAATCCTTCAAAACAATCCTTTATTGCAAAAGGTCATCCTAAAGTTTGGCTAGAAAAATAAACATATTTTGTTTCATCTGGATAATAAAAAGGAACATTCATATTTTTACATTTCTTTGAACAGAAACATATCGAAATTTTTCAAGTCAAATGTTTAAAAGGAAAACATAATATGGAATCAAGCATTTAGACTGTATCTGATAGATAAGAAATGAAGTAAATTTATGAAAGAGCCCCTCAAGTTAAAAAAAAAGAGAATCCAAAATAAAAGTGACCAAACGAAATAAACAAGCAGCTCTTAGAAGTGAAAATGAAAATGATTAATAAACACATGAAATTTAAAAACCAATGTGGTATATTTGTGCCCAATAGTGTACAATTAAAAAGACTGATAACATGTAATACTCATAAGAATATGGGAAAATAAGCATGCTCATATATGACCAGTTGAGAGTACAAATTACTACAATCATTTTGGAAAGAATCTACATATGGACCATAGTAATTCTAAGTATTAATGACAGAAAGGATGGTTGACTGCCATTTTCATGTCCTTATTCATAAAACAAATTTTTATTGCATGCCTACCTTGTGCCAGGGTTGCAGAAGTAAACAAGGTAGGAATAAGCCTCTGTTTGTGTGGAGTTCGCAGTTTATTGGGGAAGAGACAGACAATGGGCATAATAAGTAAAGTAGAATATAAGGAAGTGATATGTACAATGGGAAAAAAAACCAGAATAGGCCCAGGAAAATCCAATACTGAAACGGACATGTGGGCAGCCATTTTCAGTAGGGAGTCTGTGTAGGTCTGGACTAAGAAAGTGAAATTTGAGCTGACTTGAAGGAAATAAGGGAGTGGCTATACGGATGTACAGGGGACTAAGGTTCCAGGCAGAGGAAACAGCCTGTGTAAATATAAATAGGTAAAAATAACAACATGGTTGAAAACAAGTATAAAGAAGTAAATCAAAGAATGGATGGAAATCGCTCTTTTCCCTTCCAAGGTTTACAGATTTCTTTCTGTTTATTTTCTTCATTCATGTTTTCAATTAATGGGACCTGTGTTCATAACATCTGGGAGGATGTGTTGACCTGTCAGTTATCGAAAAGATAGTCCTACTTTTGGTAGATCATGCATGCTCATAGAGCCCAGAGATTTTGACAAATTATTTCCTTATTTTTTCCATAAAAGCAGCCATCAACTCATAGAGAGTCCGCCTGAAACGAGAGCAGCTTGAATAGCATCATTGAGTCTCCCTATCTGGTCCCATCTCTCATCTCCTCTGTGCTTTCTTCTACTCCTCTGCCCGCCCTCAGAACCTTCCACAGACAGCCTCAGATCCCAAGGACTTTGCCCACTGCTGGAGGAGGCTTCAGGTCCTTCATATTATTCAGCGAGGAGCATTTACGAGGCCATCAGACTTATCTCTTGCTAATGTGTGAACTTCTCTTATTGCATTAATACTGTTGAATTAATTTTGCTAACAAAAATGCTAACGCATTATTCTGTCCAATCAGAGACCTCTATAATAATACAGTGGTAACCATCACACCTGACAACATTATGGTGGATTTTTCCAGTATTCCCTTTATCATCTCTTCTGAACATTTCTCATCCTTCACAAGTGTCTTCTAAATTTTTGGGGGGTTTAACATACTTTTAAGTGTAGAGTTTGATGAATTTTAAAATACTGATGCATCCATTTAACTACCACACAGATTAAAATATCAAACATTGCCAGCATCCCAGTACCTTCTCTTCCAGCTCTTTCCAGTCAATAACCACCCCCGAGGTAGCCAATATTCTACCTCCTACCACCATACGTTAATTTTTTACTGTTCTTGGACTTTATATAAATGGAATTGTTTTGTAGGTGCTCTTTGTGTCTGGTTTCTTTCACTCAACATGAAGCTTGTGAAACATATCCTTGCTGTAGGTAGCAATAATTTGTTCTTTTTCACCATTGTGTAGTATTCCATTGTATAAATATACCAACATTTATCTGTTCCACTGTTAGCAGACACTTGAGTGGGTTTCAGTTTTTGGGAATTGTGTATCAAACTGTTATAAACAGTCTTTAACATGCCCTTTGGTAAATATATGTATTTATTCTCTTAGGTAGAGGGTGGCACACCTTTTCTGTAAAGGGTAAAATAGCAAATTTGCAGATCATATGGTTTCCGTCTGTCACAATTATGCCATTGTAGTACAAAAGTAGCCCCAGATATTATATAATACATAAACAAATGGATGTGGCTGTGTCAATAAAACTTTATTTACAAAGACCATATTTGACCTGCAGACTGTAGTTTGTTAAACCTGCTCTTAGGTATATGCTTAGCATTGGAAATGCTAGGTGTTAGGATAGTTGTATGTTAACTATGTTTTACCAGTTTTCCAAAGTGGTTGTACTAATTTATACTCCCACTGATGCTGGATGAGGATTTCATATCTTCACCAACATTTCCCAAATATCTTTAAGTTCTTGAAAACATTGTATTTTCTCTCATTTACAAATTAGTGTCATTTTTGCTATAATAGTAAAATATTATCTAACTTTTTCTTCCCTAAGAAGTCACTATAGCAATGAGCTATCATTATTGCCTCTTGTCCTTGCAGAGGAATATTGATGCCTCTAAATTGTGATTTTCTGCCACTTTTATTTGACATAAATGAAAAGCCCTGTATTGGCAGCTGGAAGACCTAAACTGAGCTGCCCTGTGACTTTAATATAGTCCCTTCTGTGCGTTTATTTCTGTGCCTAATCTCTAAAATGGGGCTAATAACATCTGCCCTGGCTATTTCTCTATATTTTTATAACAAATAAAATAATGGATGAACAAAATTAAATGATAGGAAGACAATTACAATATCATAATTGAAAAAAAGTCTCATGTTATGAAACAGTATGTATAGCATGTTCCCAACTAGAGGAGCAGGGGGTGGCAACGTATGTTTAAAGACATAGGAAAAAATGCTAGAAGAATATTTCCCAAAATGTTTAGAGTGACAATTTGGGGAGATCATTTATATCAGTAGTTTTATTTTCTTCTGGATGTTTTGCAATATTTTCCAAGATTTCCAAAGTTAACATGAATTACCTGCATAAAAAAGAAAGCAAGGTTAATTTTCAGAAGGACACAGTGTGGACTGAGGGGCATCTCCCCCTTGTCGCTGGGCTATCTCACTTGTGCTCCATTTCTTGATCCTTGGCTGAATAAATCAGGAATTCAATCTGACAGCAACAATAGAAATGCACAGAATATTACAGAGTGAGCAATTATTATGATGAACGTTAATAAGCAGCAGGAGGCCTCTGTCTTTGGTTTTGTAAAATGTGATTTTAAGTATTCTCTCTTAACTTTAGGGGCTTTTGACATTGTATTGTGTAAGTGCTTAGCAGTGGAAAAAGTGAAGAAACGCTGTCTCAAAATGGCGTGGAAGTAGATGACAGAGCAGTTTGCTTTCCTGGGGGTCCTGTGCATGTTCCCTGTCACTCTGAGGCTGCGAAGTAGAGGAAGGTGGGAGGACCCTTGCTCAGGGTGGCAGGGTCTTGTCCTGAACCAGTTTCTGCTTGGATGCTACAAACGTCAAGACGCAGAAGTGGTCCAGGCGCAGTGTAATCCCAAGGCTTTGGGAGGCTGAGGCAGGAGGATCGCTTGAGTCCAGGGGTTCAGGAGTTCAAGGCTACAGTGAGCTATGATTGCATCACTGCACTCCAGCCTGATCCACAGAGAGACCCTGTCTCTAAAATTAAAAGCAATGTGGTGAGAGAAGCAGAAGTGACCAAGGCAGGCTAATTGGCACTCTAAATATAGCCCAACTCAATTGAACTAGGAAATGTGGAAACGAACTTTGAGAGTGTAAAGATCTGGATGGACAACCTTTTTTTTTTTTTAAAGGCTGGTCAAGTGAAGCAGTAGGAGTGGAGAAGGAACAAAGGAATCTGTAACTGGTTATGATGAATTAGTTGTAAACACCACTGCACTTGGACCAACCTGGGGTGGACAACCTTGCCCTTTTTTTTTTCTTTTTTTTAAATAAAGTGACCGTTATCTTTCCTATATTTAAAATGTACAGAAAGAAACTGTTACATTTCTCCTTCAGGCCATGGCAAAGGTTAGAGACATGTATGAAGTATATTTTCCAAAATGCAAGTCTCTTTATTTTTTTTTTAGAGGAAATACAATCTGTTTTATGAAGAAGTGCTGGCAAAAGTTCAGAAACCAGCACAAAACTGAAATGGGGGTTGAAAGAAATGCTTTAAAGGAAAACATCCCCTTAAGTGGGAACCGCACAAACACTTGGGATTTGGCTCACACCGGAGGTGGCTGTGTGCGCCAGGTGTCACGTTTAACTGATAGTGCTTGTTACTGACCCTGTGGGTGGCAGGAAGGAAGAGGAGTGACCATGGCATTCAGGAGAGGGTGAGCTTTGTCCTATCACCGCACAGAAATTGAATTCTTAGACGGCTCGACCACGGGCTTGTGTGGTGAAAATGGGGATTTCCACTTTCAAAAATAGTATGACTTCAGTTAGGTTTGAGATTGCCTTTTTGGGAAGTTTGTTATATTTAGAAGCTTTTTTTCCCCCGCCTCATAGCTTTTAAAGTCCATCTGCAGCATGGCACAAGTCCTCAAAATTGTAATGACCTAATTTACCCCGAAGTTCAATTTGGAATCAAGATGTTTTCTTCAAATGTACAAAGTAACCATTGCATCGACAAAAATACATTTTAATCAAAATGCTGAAAGTATCGAAAATGGTAAGGGATTTTCTTTCCCCTCTTCAAGCTTCTCTTTGCTTTATAAATTGTCTATGTTGTGGTTTATGTGGGATATAGATATCCCAGATCTTGGCAGTGTATTTTGCTCACTAGTTCTAGGAGGCCTGAAGGCTTGGTTTGAAGTCAGCTCGCCACAGGAATCTCTGTGCCACCTTCTAGAATATCAGTTACGCAAATTGCAAAATTAGCATCAAGAAAAAAATATATATTCTGTAATGAGCATTTTTGCTTTAAAAGTAAAAATCAGCGTATTGTTTTTAAAAGGAAAAAAAATCCCTTTAAAATGGAGTAGTCCTGTAAGGAAAGGTCAGTTTTCAAAGAAGGGCTTGACACAGAGGCTAAGATGACAGCCCACTCCCAGTTCAGCTGGAGTCACTTGGCATGTTTTACTACCCAGTGCAGTGCAAGGCGAGGAAGCAGGGAGATTGGATATCACCGAGGATTTAATTTTGGATTTGGGGAGGCACATGGTCTTCCCCAACTAGTTTCTATTTTTTTCCTATCTTCCTTGAAAATGACTTTCTGTGCAACTCTGATATGCTGTTTCTCTCAGCAGCCCCAGCCTGTAGCTGATGGGACAAGAGAACCTCTTTCTTGCTCTGAATTGCTAAAAGATTGGTAGAAGTTGATTCTTTGTCTCCATTTTAAAAGTGAAAGATCTGGGTGTGGTAGCCCTGGCCTGTAATCCCAGCCACTCAGGAGACTGAGGTGGGAGGATCCTTTGAGGCCATGAGTTTGAATACGGCCTGGACAATACAGCAAGATCCCATCTCAAAAAAAAAAAAAAGTGGAAGATAAAGAAGATCTACTCATCTCCCGTTTCCTCCCTTGGAGCAATGATGCCAAACTCTCTGATCAGTGTTTACAGTTTTGCATCAAATAATTTAAAATGTCTCCCTTACCTGATGATCATCAACATGAAATGACCAATTTTTTTAGTGTAATTCTGGAGCCAAGTTTCTACAGAATGTTTTATAACAAATCCTTTGGTTCTTTTCCCCAGTTTGCTAATCATTTGGCAGAATAAGCAGGAACATTACCAGTGGGCAGCCTTTCTGGGTAAACCTCAGACTCCCTTTCCCTCTAGGTGGAATTTAGGAATCTTCTGTGGCAATGCAGCAACTGAACCTGCCAGTCTTTAGTGAGAGCTTGGGCCATTGCCAGTTATTCTTAGGCCCTAAATTCCTCTCTCCTCATGGAAACTTTCCTTTCATCTATCCTATTCTTTTCCAAGGCACATTCCAAGATGTTGACCAATTAATCTATTAATGAGCGTCTGGGAGTGAGTGAAAGGGAACCTAGGTACATTTTAAGGACCTTATAAGTCTACCCATTTGTTGACTCAAGGGCTGTCACTGCAGCTCACACAGGAAGGAGAACTGGCCTTGTTAGGTCAGGGTGAAGGGATGTTTTCGAGATTGGCACCATCATCCCCTCACCATGCAGAGCTGGGCTTAGTTTAGGGCCGGTGATTGGCACCCGAAAGTATACACAAAAGCCAACCAGAACTATAAAGTTCTGAGGTGATTTTCTCTCTGAAGCTGGACTTTATCCATCCCCCACTTTTTTTTTCAACTCAACAACTTTATCCTGAAACAGATGTATTTTTGTTTCTGTTTTTCAGAGCGCCACCTACAATATCAGCAAAACCCCTCATACATAAAAAGTGATCAGTGAGTGTGTCTGGGGCGTAAGGAGTAACAGGACTTGAAGGGGAGGACATTGAAGTAGTTTTAGAATGAACCACACAGCCTGGGGACTGTGGGGAAAACTCCCTCTGGGGTGGGGTGCGGGCTGGTTTTGGAGCACTCAGTGCTGAGGGACAGGAGCCGGCGTTTGGTGGTGAGAGGAGGAGAGGCAGAGCCAGAGAGCAGGTGCTCCGAATGGCGCTGTCAACGGTAAATCTAGCAAATTTACCCATTTACTCTAGCAAATCCCATCACCCTTCCAGGACTCAGTTTCCTGTTTTGCAAAGTGAGGGAATTAAATGCTTTGGATTAAATACCTTCTCTCTAAGGTCCCTTCCGGCTTCCCACTTCCGCAAGATGAGTTTCAGGGAGCTTCTAATTCGACATAAAGCTTCTAATTCATCATGACAGGAATGTCAGCAGGTCCTGCAAAGGGAATACTGACAGGACTGATGACTGGCAAGAGGAAGGAGAAGGCTGAGGACGTCATCTGTGAGGGGCAGTGCTGGGGGGTGGGTGAGGGTGGCTCTGCTGCACACTAGCTGTGTCACCTGGGCTGTCATGGTGTCGCTGTGATGCTTTCTCAGCTGTATCCCATAAAACTGGGATACTACCAGGGCCTGCTTTATTGGCAGCTGTGGAAATTGTGAGGACAGCCTGACGTAGTCGATGCGGAGACCTTACCTCAGTGCCTGGCACGTGGGTGAGAAATATTTGCTGCCGTTGCTAAGCACGTGAGGACGGAGTCACAGGTGAAGGCGGGAGAAGAGCACGTTGAAGGCTTTTGAGGACTCTGTGGCTTAGGGAAATCCCCATCTGAGGTAGGTGCTCTACCAGGACAATGAAGCCTTCAGTGTCAATCAGGGGAGACTCCCATAAAGAAAACGCATCAGAAATAGATCTCCCCGGCAAGAGCCACCTCAGAGGCTGCAGTAAAAGGGAAATTCAATAATATGACCTCAGTTTAATTTAAAATGATTGTATTTTGCTCATCATGGATTTTTTGCATCAATTTTTATCTTTAAAATAGGCATTCAAATACTACTTATCTTGGTTGGTTACTGAGTGGCCACCTCCTTAGATTTTGTGCCCAAGGCCAGTGCTTCCCTAGCCTCACTCGAGTCCCCCCATCCTGCCCAAAATGAGGTTGAAGGTTTGTTTAGTCCTCAGTGTCAATCCTATAACAAAATGATGGTCATTTGGTGTAGAAGGCTCAGAGTCATCTAAATGATTACGAACAGCAAGAAGAGAAGGAAATGTGTCTTTTCCCTACTGACTAGGAAGTCAGAAAATACCAAATACCCCTGTTCTGGAACCCATTTACCATAAAGCCAGAATCTAGGCCTCTTAGAGCATGGAAGGAAAATACCTAGAACACCATGAGCATAACCTTTGTTCTAGAATGCCAGGCTTGAGAAGACTCTGAAAGAGCTTTGTAACTTAGGGAAGGAAAGTGAAATGTTTTATGGGGATTGAGCAGGAGGGGGCAGATAAAAAAATGTTCAGCTGGCTTCAAGGCCAGTTGGTCAAGGATGGTTCTCTAAAGAAGAGGGCATTGTGCTTCAGGAGTAGCAGCTATTGTGTAATTTCGATTTTATCAAGAGAGATGTAGAGAAACAGTTAGGGGTTACCCAGTCTTGTGTAAAAGGTTTGGAGGAACAGCTGCAAAAGGCACGGACAGGCAAAGGCCACTGTGGGTGATGCCCAGCCCTTCAGGGCCCCTCATGGTATGTCCTGGGCATCTGCAGGCAGCAGCCGTCCGACAGGTAAGTCAGCATTTCCAAGGAGCCTCTAATTATTACCTTACAGCTGGTGGAGGGAGCAGATAGCTTGCAGGGATCCTCAAACTTTTCAAACAGCGGACCAGTTTATTGTCTCTCAAACTGTTGTGGAGTGTGCACTGTGGGCCCGGGACAGGCAGCGGTGGCAAAAACATCCGGAGGGCCGGATAAATGCTAGGTGACCCGCATGTGGCCCGCAGGCCATAGTTTGAGGAAGCCTGGCCTAGAGTATCTTGGAAAGTTCCTGTTTCCCTTACCTCTAATCCTTTTTCAAGAGAGGCAATAGCACCATTCACAGCTAAAATGTCAGGCAAAGCAGGCAGGGAAGCCATTCACCCAGGCTCACTTCCAGGCTCTGGGCGAGACCTGGGGGCTGCTTACAAGGCCCCTGCCTGTGCGGCAAACTCCAGGGCACTCAAGTGACTATAACATGTGGTGGGCAGTGCTTTGCCAGCTGCATCTCTTCATACAGCATGTAAAGGCTTTCATTGTTAAGAAGTTTTAAACACATTACATGGTTTGTATTATCACTATGACCCTGTGATTAGGATGACGGCTTTTAGGCATTTCTTTTATGGATGAAAAGAGGAACCCATTGAATGGTTAAGTGACTTGCCCAGTATCACTTAGCTGGTTAATGAGACTGGAGACTGAGTTTCCAAATTCCCATTCTCCAGTTATTTCTAGGAGGCTACAGAAACCTCTAACCCCGTGCAAGAGCGCTCCTCCTTTCAGATGTCATCATGGTGTTATTGTTGTCCTGACCTCCCCAAAGGAGGCTGAGAAAAGGCCAGTCACTTGAGTCCATCAGCCAGTTTTTAGGACCTACGGTCCACCAAGCTTTCTTTCACTCCACCCTTCATTCCAGAGAAGTATCGGCATCAAAGTTTCCCCATCACTGGCCACAAGTAAATTTCAGATTGGGCTCTGTGGTCTAATCCTGAGTTTTTTCTCTATTGGAGGGGAAACACAGCAGAGGAAAATCCCCAGTGTGTTCCAGCCAGTATTCAAATTTATTCGGTAAATGATAAAATATTGTTTCAAAGCCAGGGCATCATCATCATCATCATCACCACCGATAAGTGCTGGAATTACAAGGAAAAATACAAGACTCTCTGGCTTCAGGGAACTTCCTGTAAATGGGGGAGACATGGGGAGATTTGTAAACAGACAATCTCTAGGCATTCTGTGATTGCTGAGGGACAAAAGTGGCTCAAGGTACAAGGGGAGCAGAGGAGAGAGGATGCCTCCCTGAAGTTCCTGGGGGTGTGAAGAAAATAAATTCCCTGAACCCATACCCCTCATGAGATTAAGGCCACATGAATGTGTGTCTGTGAGGAGCATCTTAAGGAGGTTATAATATATAAATGAAGCTTCGTCTTTTACAATTATGTTTGGGGCTTCAGGGTCACTCAGGGTTGACCACAGAATTGAGTAATTGACCAAGAAATTCAGTGACAATTTTGACTTTATTTATGTCCCTGGGGCAGTGCTCTGATCTGATTTATAGTCGTAGTATTAATACTACCCAAACACAGTTTATTGAGTGCCTACTGTATGTCAAGTATTCTGGGCACTAGGGTAATTTCTGTGAATAAAATAGAAAAATGGGGCTTATATTTGAATAGTGTCTGTTAAAGATGCTTCTTAAATGACACAGATCTCTCTTGAGCAGTGGTTCCTGAAGTGCCCGGTAGCGTCACTGGGGGACCTTTCAAAAAATTCCAAAAGCCTGTCCCAACCCAGAGCAAATTCAGAATCTCATGGGCAGCTTCTAATATTTTTAAGTTCCCCAGGTGATTGTCATGTGCAAGGAGGGCTGCAAACCACTGCTCTAGAAATTCTGCTGTACTTCCCTAGGGAGTCATGTCATCCCCTCCCCACCTGCCCCCAACTTTCCGAGAGTCATTTATATAATCCACAGATGAGGCTCAGAGTGACTTGTCTGAGCATGTAAGGGGCACATGTAGAGAGTCACCAGGCCAGGACTTGAACCTGGGTCTTCTGATTTTAAGTCTGGTGTGTTTTTTGTCATGTTGAAAGAGTTAAGAAAACTGAATGTTGAGGGGCTCCCCAGAGAAGAGAGGAGATTGTTTTCAGGCCTCCTGGTCACCCCCTCGCCACCCCCCATCACTCACTGAAGATTTTAGCACCTGGTCCAGTTTTCATCCTTCTAAGAAACATAAACATCCAGAGGCCCGTTCATGCCACGGGCTCTTTCTCGTGACCTCCTCATTGCTGAGACATTCTTTCCTGCGCCCCGCCTCAGCCATCCACTCCCACTGCCAGCCCCTGGACACTGCTCCTATTGGAAGTTCGAGCATGAGCTTCTCCAGTGAGAAATCTCACACCCTTTCAGCACGGGGGCTCGAGATCCCTCACTGCGCCGTCTCTCCAACCCCATCAGCTGTGGTCAGACCACCAGTGCGTGGCTTTTCTCTCGTGCAGCACCTCCCTCTTTCGTTTCCCTTCGCACCTGGCTGACATCCCTCGGGCCATCATCTTCATCATGGTGGGGGGCGGGGCAAGTACTGTACTCGTAACTCCCATGCCCACTTCTCCAAATGCTCCTTCCCTTGAACATCAACCCGCCGCTGTCACTGTCTGGCACCCTCTTCACACACCATTTTGTTTGTCTAAAGCCCAGTTATCCTTTGAGTGTCAGTTTGATCACTTTGGGAGGTCCTCCCTGACCCCTCAGGTTAAAGGAGGGACCCCTTGTTACACCATTCCTTCCCAACCCTTATCATAAGTTGTATTTCTACATGTTCTTTTCTGTGACAAGCTTTGTTTAATGTCTCTTTACCTACCAGGCATGGGCTTGAGGCTCTCTGTTTTGGTTACTGCCATATCCCCAGTTATTGCCACACTTCTGTCACATAACTACTCTTATAAGTACGTGAATGAATGAATGAATGAATGATTTGTTAATACCCCCAAAGTTACTCAGGGTTATTCAGTGGTAGAACCACAACTCACCCATTTGATTATGGTCTGATCTGTGAGATGATTTCCACAATTAAATTTTGCAGTTGAACCCTCTCAGGTGCCCACTGTCATGGGCCTGTTGCATGGGACTCTGCCCGAAACAGAGTTTGCACAGCAGTGAATCCTAAAGCCCTGCATCTTCTATTAACACATGGCAGCGTCGAGAAGTTGTCCATGGAGATGGCTTATGAATCCCAGAGGCCACAAAGCATGGCGGGCAGGGCTGAGGGTCCCAAGTTCTAAGCAACTGCTGCTCTGCTGTCAGCCCCAGAGATGGCACCTCTAGTTCTTTCCTAGACAAGGCCAAGGATATCTTGCTTAATATACCATTTCTCAACTCCAGTATTTAAGGGATTTTTTTTTTTTTTTTGAGACAGGGGCTCACTCTGACACCCAGGCTGGAGTGCAGTGGCATCACTGTAATTTCGAACTCCTGGCTCAAGTGATCCTCCTGCCTCAGCCTCCCGAGTAGCTGGGACTATAGGCACGTGCCACCATGCCCAGCTAATTTTTTAAATTTTTTATAGAGATGGGGTCTCACTATGTTACTCAGGCTGGTCTCATACTCCTGGCCTCAAGTGATCCTCCCACCTCGGCCTCCTGGAGTGCTGGGATTGGAGGTTTGAGCCACCACTCCTGGCCAGTGGATCTTTTAAAATGTAACTTAAAAACTTTTTTCACATAAACTGTTTGTTTAAATCCTGAATGGGCTCAAGTTCTCCCTGCAAGGTGTCTTCTGGCAGGGTTTCCCCAGTCTTTATCACATGAATTATTTATGAGAACTATTTTTTTCCCATCGGAGATTAGTTCAGATCCTTCAGAAATCTCAAGCTTTTGGTGCTTCTTTGAATATTTGTTTAGGTTCTGATGGAGAAGACTGAGCTAAGGACCTGGAGAATGAAATAAGGTATCTACTGCCTTAATTGGTTAATTTATTGAGCACAAGTGGGAGACTGACTGTAGTGAGAGTTTCACAGAGAGTAAGGTGATGCATGAATTGGGAAGTCTGGGGCAATGACCATTCAAGGTGAACTAGGGAAGAAAGGCACCTTTGTTCTCTACATGGTGTCTCACCAGTGAGAAAGCATGACGTGAACCTCTGGTTCATTGGCCATCCAAATGGAACACACGATTAGGTGGCTTTCTGTAACCACTGTTTTCATGTGGCCTATGTAATTTTGGCTTCCAGCCTGACGCTAGTGTTAATATTTGAGACTTACCCCTAGAGAGCTGATTAACAAGGGCTAGAGCAGAAGCTGGATGTCTGTAGTATTAAAAACCTCTCTAGGTGATTCTGATGCTCAGGGAGAGTTGGCTGCCTGCCCCCTTCCTAGAAGTCTCTGAGCAGGAGACCTTAAGTGACTTAGGTGACTGATGGCATTTATTTGTTTAGTGTCAGAGTTATCTAGGCCCTGCACTTTAGAGAGTCCGGTGTTTCACAAACACACAAAAAATAAACCTATTGGAAAATACATGAATGTCTTTGTTGCTTGGGGCCTGCTGCCCAGTGCTGCCTGTACACTAATTACCTGTAACCCTAACCATCTGCTCTTCACGAACCCGGAGGAAGCTCTGCCACGCTAGGGGTGGGCCTGCAGGGCAGCACAGCAACTGGGGTCTTCTCTGAGCCCCCATCTCAAACATGTTCCCATTTACCCTCGGCCCGTTGTCTCCTGTCTGCCTCTCAAACCAGTGAAAGCATCTCTGAGCTATGCTAATAAGTCTTCATCAAAAAGGAATGATTCATTTGAAGTTCATTTTTAGATCTGTTTTCTTTTGCTCAGGAACCCAGGGAGAAACCGACTGGGAGAAACACCATCGCGGTTGGCGCTTAGTTTTTATTGAACCATGAATTCCCCTGGACAGAGGCCTATGCCGAAATCTCTCGTTCTTTAAACAAATAAACAAATAAATAAGATCTTTTGGCTGGTACCTAATAAAAACACACACAGGCAAATCAAGTTTAGCACATATCTTGGAAACTCCCAGCTTTCAAA